CCACTTGATGCTGCCTGCAGGCATTGAAGTACTCATAGTCAAAACTCAAAAGCCAAAGTGCTAATAAATGGAAGGGAAAATGTTACCAATAACAAGACATACCAAAGATACAACCAGTTCCATCAGAGCATCCATAACATCAGTCCCATAGTTCCACATCACTATTCGAAATACCTGTAGGCTATCCTTATGAGAGTTTTTTAGAGAAGATAATACTCCCTTCGTCCCAAAAAGGAACTCCCGCCTTCCCTTTTTGTCTGTACCAAAATTAATTTCCCACTTTTATCATTGCATGTTAAGGGTAGAAATATGTGGCTCATGGCACTTCTCTCTTCTAAACAAGCTTTAGCCACATATCTCTTAAACTCCACAATGTAAGGGTGAGAAACTGAGAATTCCTTTTTAGGACAAATGAAGTATATAAATCTAAAGGATCCCTTAACAAGATTTATCACTGATACGTACCGAAGAAAGAAGAGATCGATGGTGAACAATGTCTAAAAAAGAGACAGTTCCTGACAAAGCCTTTAAGCATGTCTTCCATACATATTGTTTAAAAATAAAAGATAAATGCATGATTAAGTAACATGAAAAAGGAAAAAATTTTCATCATAGTAAATGTGGAATTAAAACCTACCACGAGTAATGCCACCTCCTCAGGTGATAACTGGTGATCACGATTTATGAGTCCAACAAGCTGAGAATACTTGTCCATATCACCCTAAAACCAGCCAAGTTTGGTTATTAGAGAGAGAGCACATGATGGAATTCATGGCAAGCAAGGTCATATCTAATGTCAAAGGCATCACTAAATGTCAAATAATGGATAGTGAAAATTGTGTGAAATGTAGCAACTAGTATTGTGAAAAAAACCAACGTCAAAAATCCATTCATAGAATTTTCATACACACATGCATATAAACATATACACACAGGCACACAAATATGACTAAAACAAGCATGTGATCAGTCCGTGCAAAGGAAAGAAAGGAAAAGAAGAATAATTACAAACTAACAACATGATACTCCCTCCGTCCCTAAAAGATGTTCCTATTTCATTTTTTGCGCATTACAAAAACACTTATATCCCGCCTTAAATGCCAAAAAAATTTCAAAACAACTTCTACCCACAATAAAGGAGAAATGTTGTAAATTTTAGGCATTTTAGATGTGGGTAGAAGTGTTTTATGGGATGCGCAAAAAATGAAACAGGAACAGCTTTTTGGGACAAAAGGAGTATATCTGAGGGAAAAAGTAACAATCTTTTACATTCTTGGAATAAGAAAGAAAGAATAGATTATCCATATCACGAGATCAGCTGGTTCAGAGGCACGAAAGGCAAGAATAGCTGTTCAATGTCAATCATATTATTGTAACAGACACTAACAACACATTTTGCAGATGCACACCACAATCAAATGCTTAAAGAAATTTAAGTATACATAAAAATCATTTCGAACATATATACCTGGATAGCAGATTTTAGGGCATCCCTGACATGATATACCAGCTCTGAATCAGAAAGATCAACACTCTCAATCTCTAGCATAGCTACTTGTTCAGAAGCTAATTGCACCCCCATTTATTCCAATGTATACAGTTAAAGACTGCACCAACTCTAGTGCCTGGATCTATATGAAAATGAATCTCCAATTAACATGTATAATCTGTAAAAGCAAGCATTTAAACAAACAAATGCTTGAATTCTTTCAAAAACACACTATCATAAGTAGACCAGTCAAATATGTCAAGCTAGGTAAAATTGGATTCAGGTATCAGGTCAGGTAATTTCCAGATGTGGTTATACGCTGTTGAACCTTGAAAACAAATTACCAGATTTACTGCGTTAGAGTGAAGCCAAACAGGTTAATGATATATTCTAGTATTCTACATTCAAATTGGTTTACTGATTTCATAGCCACTTTGGTAGTTAATTACAAATAATGACAGTACCTCGGTCCTCTCATTAAAATTATTTAATGAGAGTACTCTTAGGCCTTAAATAGTTTTTTATGAGAGGATTGGAATTCAGTCATTATTTTCAATTAACTACGGATGCTTTAGTGATGGTTTAATTTGTACTCACACTAAAAAATATTTTTCTTTTAGTGATAGCTAGCAGGGGTAGGTACAAGGCCGGTCCTTAGAATTCTTGGGCTTGAGCCGAAAAATAAAAAAATACTAAAAATCTTATCCCTTATGGTCTAACAAATTAACACATGTAAACCAATTATATCCATATACTCCCTCCGTCCATGTATGATCTTCCCATTACGCGTTACGAGGCTTGACCGACTTTATTTTTAATTCAATTTAATTGAATATAGGAGTAAAATTTTAAAATAAAACTTATATAGTAATAAACTACATGAAAAGTTCTACAAAACTAGAGGTGACAAGACTATATTATTTTATAAAATGACTAGTAAAAATGAACAAACAAAGTGGGCAAAGTTTGACCCTGTGAATAGTGTCTGAGAAGATCTATGGTAGACAGAGGGAGTAATAATTAATGCAATATTATTAGAAGAAAAAATAAATTAATATATCCTACATTCATATCAATTCGTCAATTTTTCTATTTTTTAAATTTTTAGTTTTAATTTTTTTATTTATCATAAATTTATATCAATTCGTCAACTTTTTTGTTTTTATTTTTTTTCAATTTTCAGTTTTTATATATAAAATTATAAATATATCATAAATTCAATTCAATTCATCCAAATCAAATAAAGAACATATGGAACCATTAATTCATTCTATTTCATAGCAATTAGCAAAGATTTCAAATTAAAAATTAATAATTAACTCTAGTTAAATCTAAAGAACGAAAAAATGAAAGAAAAAAGTTACAAAATTGGAAAGCTATAAATACAGAATACCTGGAGGCTGTTGGCTTGGCGCCCAGCGGCGTCTGGACTCTGGCGGCGTCTGGACTCTGGCGGCGACGGCGTCACTCTATCGGAAGTTCTCCGATTTGGCTATTATGTTCAGTCGACCTCGCCCTTAGGCCTTCTCGCGATATTCGCTAAAGAGACGGGCCTTAACTGGGCTATGGGCTTTTTATATTACATACTCCGTATATATTATTAAAGAAAAATTGGGCCTCTTAAATTCATGGGCCCGGTTCAAATGGACTATTTGTCCCATATTGGGCCGGCCTTGGGTAGGCATACTCCGTCCGTTGTACCCCGTATGTTTTTGGTAATGTGACTTTACATTGTGGTAATGTGGCAGTGTACATATGCGAAATACTATACTTTTATGGCAATGTATATGACCATGTTTGGTAGTGTAAGTCCTATTTTGAGAATAAAAATATGGAAGTCCTATTTTAGTATATTCTCAATGTTTTAGTCCTAGTTTGGTATTTCTCCCAAAAATGTAAAGACTTTTCAGGTGTTGTCTTTGATATGATGGAATAAAGCGAACAATGTGAATAAAAAGTGAAAGTATATTGTTACATTCATTAAAAGTGTTTTGCCTAAATAGGAAACGAGAAAGAAACTTTTGAACAATCCAAAAAAAAGTGAGAAAAAATTAATGGACGAAAAGAGTATCAAACAATTCAATATATTTTTTCTATAATTCATGATCAAATTTGAAAATATTGACTACAAAAGTCAAAATAGAAAGAATGATATAAGGGGAGAATTTAGAGAATATATATAAAGTTAGAGGATTAAATAATTAATTAAGAACCCAAAATAATTATAAAATAATTATGTAATTAATGATATTTCTGTCAAACAGTTATATCGACTATAAGTACTGAATTCACGAAAGAGAATGCCGACAAATCAGAACGTAAATTGTGGACGTGAGTGCATGCAAACATGTAAATCCCCACAACCATCCAATTCATCTTCCTTTCCTCTTCTTCCTTTACATACTATCGTCTATTTTTATTATTTATATAACCACTCACAGCTCTATTAATGAACTTCTTCAATCTTCATCCATTTTTCCTCTGAGAATCGAGAGATAGACAAGAAAAAGGGATCATTATCCAAAGGGTGGTTGAATTCATTAATCACATTTCGGATTTTGATCCCTACACCTTACGTGCGTGCTTGCATGCATACAGATTTTCCGTACGTTCTTCATCATTAATTCTCACAACAAAAGTAATTGAATCTCCCTACCCAGTATAGCTTCGTTCAGATAATTAATTAAACATGGCGCAGATGAGATCGACAATGTCCTTCAAGCATTTTGTGGAACAAAACCTTCCAAAATATGCCAACGTGGTCATATACGCGGTGCTTGAATGGGTGATGATCCTTTTGATTTTCGTAGACGGTTTCTTGGCACTCTTGTCCTACGAGTTCGCCCGGTTTTTTGAGCTAAACATCCCCTGTTTGTTGTGCACAAGGATAGATTATGTCCTTTCACGTTGCCGCAGGTCGTGGTCCTCGTCAAGCGCCTCGTACGACGATTCGTTGTGCGAATTGCACAAGAGGGAGATTTCCTCCCTCGGGTACTGCAATGCCCACAAGAAGATTTCCAACATAGGACGAATGTGCGAAAACTGCATCGCTTCACATGGGAAGGAAAAGAAAGAGGACACTTCCAAGGAGGTTGAGATAACAAGTTGTTCTTGTTGCGGGGAATTTCTGAAAAAACGGCTAGTGGTGACAGGGAACAATAAGTGTTACAGGAGAAATGGTTCGATGAATGGTCCAACGCCATCCCCTCGTGTTCGGAGACAACATGAGCAGCATCTGCAACAACGCAACGTTGATTCTCCGCGCATGCGTTTCAAAGACCTAAAGATGATCTCTGACTCTGACGAGGATTATCTTTCAAATATTGCTAGAGAAGGTAACAAGTTTTTAATGGTTTATATACAATAATAACAAATTAATTTAAGGGTTATTTACCTAAATAGGACTAAAACATAGTACCTCCGTCCCGCTATATTCGTCCACTTTTGACTTTTGAAACTGTTCATCTAAGTACTTTGACTCATCAAATTCTCTCAATGTGTAAGCCTAAATATAGTCATGTGTGATCTTGTTTGATTATTAATACTACCTCCGTCCCGTGAAACATTTCCCCTTTCTTTTTTTATCCGTCCCACAAAACACTTCTCATTTCTATTAAAAAGTCACTTTTACCCCTTACTTTTTCATACCCTAACTATCACATCATACCTTTTTACTAATAATCTATCCATCAAATCATACTTTTACCCATCACATCAAAGGACATTTTTGGAAATTCAATACCAAAATACACTCCCTTAAATCCCTCCTAAAAAGCAAATGTCCCATGTTTCACGGGACGGAGGTAGTATATAATTTCTACACCTTGGTTCCCATGACATGGGGGCGCTCAGGTGCCCCGTTCGTAAAATTGACGGTTCCTACCCCCCTAACCCCCCCGGTAAACCCCCCCACCCCGAACAAACCCCCCACCCCCTTCAATTGCACTCCACAAGTCGATTTTGACTTTGGAGTCAAAATTTGACTCCAAAGTCAAAATCGACTTGTGGGGTGCAATTGAAGGGGGTGGGGGGGTTTGTTCGGGGCGGGCCGGGGTGGGGGGTTTACCGGGGGGGTTAGGGGGGTAGGAACCGTCAATTTTACGAACGGGGCACCGGAGCGCCCCCGGATCATCCCATGACATTGGTTCCCAATGTCATGGGAACCTTCCCCTAATTTCTATAATTTTTAACATACAAATTACAAGATAAAATGGATTAAAGAAGTGTATTGGATGGTGTGTAAAAATGAAAGTGGACAAATACTATGGGACGGAAGGAGTAATGACTTTCTCAATATAGGACCATATGTTTTTATTTCCAAATTTAGAATTATTGATCATTATCTATTAGTCATTATTCAACTAAATATCCAGTATCACTTGGACATTATTCTTCTCACTGGTCATTATTAAGTCCTATTTAGGAAATAAAGAAGTTTAACTCCTACAATTAGAAATGATTTATGTTTTAGTTCTATTCAGTGTAAATTTCACTTAATTTAGTGCAGTTCTTTTGGCACCAAAATCTTACTTTCTCCATATAAAGGCCGGTATTCTCATATTAACTTTTAAGAAATTAAAGGGAGAAAGATTTTTGTGTTAACTAATGATGATATTGTTCACTAATTAATTTGCAGTAATAGAGGATTGTAATAATAAGAAATCATCATCACCAGAGGGAACATTAGTGCCGCAGGAAGAAGCTTGCAGAACCCCGAATTTCATGAGAGGAAATCTCAACAACAAGTTCTACGGAATCCCGTTGACCGACTCCGCCCACGCCAGTCCCAGGCTGTCCCGTCTGTCCATAGAAAACATCCTCTCCGACCTCAGCAACAACGACGCCGCCACAAACGACTCCTCGTCGACGGCAACAGCAGGCGACCAGGGCGGAGACATCGTGGGGCAGCTGAAGAGGCAGGTGCGGCTGGACCACAAGTCGCTGGCGGCGCTGTACGCGGAGCTGGAGGAGGAGAGGAACGCGGCGGGGATCGCGGCGAACAACGCGATGGCGATGATCACGCGGCTGCAGGACGAGAAGGCGGCGCTGCAGATGGAGGCGCTGCAGTACCAGAGGATGATGGAGGAGGAGGTGGAGTTCGACCAGGAGGAGGTGGAGCTCATGAGGGAGATGCTGGGGAAGAGGGAGGATGAGATGAAGGCTCTCGAGGACGAGCTCGACGCTTATCGACTCAAATACGGGCCTTTATCTGAAGATGACGATGATGATTATCAAGAACTGAGGTCCAACTTCTTGCCCTCATCATTTAACGTGTCGGAATGCGTCAGTCCTCGCGATGAGGACGACGACGATGATGATGAGGTGATGAAGACAAGATCAAAGTACCATGATGATAATCATCGTTCCGAGCATTTCTCAAGAAATGATGATGACTCTCTTCGTCGTCTTTCCAGTCGTCCATTGGGTGTTGGAGATGAAGGAGAAGAAGAAGAAAAAACTGCTGATTCAATTCATTGTTCTTGATTAATTAATTAGAAGAATGATGATGAACGTAACTCTACTTACCACGCACTGATCAACGAACCAAGTTGGCTATTGGCTGGCTAATTACAAACAAAGGGTCCGTACGTAATTACTCTTTAGTTCTTTCATGTGGCCGGCACTGATTAATACTCCAATTAATTTGCATTATTATTGAGATCATGCCTTATTGATTATCTTCTTTTGGTTTGCAGGATAATAATTAGAAGGAGGATATCCAGATCGAGAGATTACTGTATTAACTAATCAATTCCACAAATTACAGATTGGAGGATATATATACACTCCAAAGTACTAATTAATTATTCATCGCCGGCCACGTACTAGCTGGGTGGTATTGTTGATTATTGGTTGATGTCTAGCTAGCTAGCTAGTGCATGCATGCATCAGATAAAGTGTATGTATAACTAAGATTATATATACGGGAGTACGTGTATAATTATTAGTACCATCAATGGCTTTTTTGTACGACTTTTTTTTGTATAATTACTTATTCTTTTATCATCTTTAATCTATTCTTGTGAAAGAATTCTATCCGTGTAATCTTTCTATTACTTTCTAAAGAAAAAATTCTATGTTAAGATTTATTCTCCAACAAAATCAAACTAGATCAGATTTTCAAAAAATTTGACGGCATAAAGTAGAGACGGAAAGCAAAGATGTTGGATTGGGCCGGTCATTTGAAAAACTAGTACTGTTTAGGACAAAATCAATCCGTTTCTTTTTTAAATACACTATACTAGTGTGGTTTTCATAAAAACATGGACTTTGACCTGGTGTGGTTTTTAAATACACTATACTAGTGTGGTTTTTAAATACACTATACTAGTGTGGTTTTTTAAGTTATTTCCTAACGTAAGACTTAAACTTTTTTATTCTTTAAATAAGACTTAATAATGACTAACGAGAAGAATAATGTTCATGTGGTGCTGAACATTTAGTTGATTAATGACCAATAGATAATGACCAATGGTCCTACATTGGGAAATTAAAAACATATAGTCATATATTGGGAAAGTCATTATGTTTTAGTCCTATTTACGTAAATTACTCAATTTAATATTTAAATTCTCTAATTTTTTACGGAAATAAAAATTGTTACTTCTGATTATCTAATTAAATTTCTTTTATTTCTATCTACTTTCTTGACTTTAATAACTATTTATGGAACAAGAATGTTACTCCGTCCTTATTATCTAAGGTAGAAATCCCATGAAATGAACGAAAAAATAAATTTTATTGTATCTCTTCTAGACATATGATTTATTTTTATCTCCTTGCTATGTATTTGTAAATTTATAAAAAAAAAACAATGCAAACTTTTTGTTAATCGCAATGCGATCTATTTCGATTTTTTTTAATGTTAATCTTTTTGTTTATCACTACTCGAAAGATAATGGTGTTTTTTTGAAGGGGATGATGAATTGAAAATTGAAGTAACAAGTCAAAGAAGAATTCACAGACAATCTGTGCAGGGGAATGAATTGAATTCCCTTTTTTTTTTCCTTTGACGTAGTTTATGGAAGGTCCTCAATAAAAATGGCCCAAATCAGGGCGGCTATGGGAGCGCCACTCAAAAGTTGGTCTCCCACTATATGGTCGAGGGCAGCAATCCCGCAGAAGCTATCCTCCGCCCCGATATTCTTCTTCCCCACCGCAATCTTTCTCCGGTCGCCGCCTCGCTGCACTCTTGCAACCATGAGCTCCGGCGCCGCCGATGTCGACGCGATCTTCGCCCAGAAAAAGGCTCTTCGTTCCAAACTCAAAAGAGATCTTAAGTCTATGGATTCTTCTCTAAGGTCCCAAGAAGGTAATCACACGAACCCACCTGCATCGTTTTGTTTAATTATTTGACTGGTGACCTTTTTTTCCAGATGAACAAATACAGAATGTAGTTTTGCAAGCTCCATGGTTTAAAGATTGTAAAAGCCTCTGTGCTTACATTAGCTGTAGTACCCTTCGAGAAGTTGATACTTCAGTTATTCTTGCCAGAATTCTCCAGACGCAATCCAAAGGTATACTCTTTATATTAAATCTCAGATTTTGGCTCTGTGAGGAAATTGCATCGCGTTATGAGTTCAATTGAACAACATTGGATGGTTTTGTTAGCACAATAAGAATTATTGATGTGAATATATGGTGATTGTCTTTTAGGGAAATAAATGACTTGATTTTTTCCTTCTATTTGCTGTGTAATTTTTTGGTTGTTGTTTATTGAGGAGAATGAGATGCGATTTGCAGATAAAAAGAAGCTCTATGTTCCACGCGTGGAGGATAGGAATCGAAACATGCGAATGTTGAACATCTCGAGCACTAAGGACTTGATTGCTAATTCAATGAACATTTTGGAACCATGCCTGGTTGATTCTGAGGGAAATGAACGCGAAGAGGGTAACCTTTGCTTCTATTCCAAATTAAAGCAATTCACCTTCTCTCTTTTCATTTGAGATGTTAGCTGTAGTTTTAACAATATGCAAATTATTTCCATCTTCTCGGGTGAAGCCAAAGATTCACTATCTTTTTGGCTTTGAGTATTGATGGAATAAAGCAAAATGACTCTTTTAACTGTCCATGCTTTTTTTTTAAATAGTGAAGTAGCAGTTAGTCAATGCAAGTTTCGACTCTCATTATGGGTCATCGTCCAAAAACAACTGCTCTATGTTTTAAACATAACCGACCCCCCTTACCCTGCAATGGGTGGGAGCCTTTGAGGCACTGAGATAATGTTGTTGTACTCAACTTGGGAGATAGAATATACCGAGATATTGTAATTAAAGTTTCCTTTTGCAGTGTTGTTGGCCAATGAACCTGTTGACTTGTTTCTTTTACCTGGTAAAGTGCCTTCTCTAATAATGGATATGTTGAATTTACATTATCTTGACTAACTTCTAAATATTCTTCTTCCATTGTCTGCCACCGCGGAAGGACTTGGATTCGATAAATTTGGAAGGCGTTTGGGCCGTGGCGGAGGGTATGATTAAGATGTTGCCCTATACTTGCTTCAATGCTTAGCTGCCATTGATTTAAGTTAGACATTTAGTTTATTCATAGGTTCTAATTAGTTTCTCAGATATCTAAATCTGTGGTTTCTATCTCCTCTTTTGCTTTTCTTTTCGGAATGGCAATAATAAATGAAGCTACTACGACACTTTCTTGACAAAATATCAAGAGCTCGCCAAGGAGCGGAAGTGGAAGCAGCCTCTCAAGAGTATATCACCTTATTTTTTTTCCCTCCCCCTCCCTCGTTCGATCTCTCTGTAGACATACGTATAACAGAGTTACTAAATTAGGTGGGGAAAAAAACTAAACTTGGTTGTTTGGATTTGCAGTAGCTCTCTCATACTCTGTGCAGATAGTGGATAACATACCAATTACTCCAGATGATGTTCTTGTGGATGCACTGATAACACCCTCTGGAGTTCTTCCTATCAGTCAAACTGCACAACAATTTTGCCTTTAAATAAAACACTTTTCTTTCACTAGTATCTGGTTTGGCATTTTAACCAGACACCTGTGGTCCTGAATAAATTGTTGTCATGTTATCCCATATACATGTAACCTTCCATTGCATAACCATATGATCACAGCATTAAATGCACTCATTACATTGTAATAATACTATGCTTTTAGCCTTCTCCATGGGTTGTTTTGTGCACTCCTAACTGTCCCAAATCCCAAGCATTTGCAGTGCCAGCCACCAGGCCGTGTTTACTTGCAATGCTAAGTGCCTGATTCCACTTAAAATCTCAACCAATCCCTCTCCAGGACTTTATTATATGAGGAATATGAGGAGTGCTATGGAGACCTCAAGATTTTGACACCAAATGCACACGAATCCAATATAGACACATCCCGATCCGGACATTTAATGTGTGGGTGTGCACATATATTAAATGTCTGTATTGGTCTTGATGTGCATTTGGTCTCCATAGGTACATTTTAGTCTATCTTTGTGTTTAACAAGACTAACACACACTGTCAAGATTGGAAACAATAATGATTTGATTCAATTATAAAATGAATTTGCTATATAACAGATACAGAGCCGGCAGGGGAAATGACCACACCATGCTTTTCTTGACCCAGGGAAAAAACCAAATGTACATACAAACTACGGACAAATGGCGCACATATGTTAGAACAACAGCAACATGCGAGTAATGCTCTATATCTTCTTCTTCTTCTCAAAAAAATTAAAGGGGCTTCAGAGAAACTGAAATGGTGGGAGGTGGGATTGTGAGGCATCAGTCAGCTCTCTGTACAGTGGTCTTGAACAAGAGTACATAAAGCTTGGGATCCATGGAGAAATATATGAAACCGCCCACTGAATGCGTAACAAAGGACCCAAAACTTTTACCAACTATGCAGTGCCAGGCTGGTCCATATACCCCATCGAATTCCTGCAACAATCCCACTCACATTATTAGCTCTACTGTATTTACACATTTACCCCCCTCCTCCCACTTCCCACCTCCTTGTTCATTTACCCTCACTCTGTAAAGTCTATTCCCCCCCTTCCCCTGTTCCCAAACATCTCTACCACTTGTTACTTGTCACAATACTCATTTCTTCTGTATTCACAGATTTTCCCCTATCTTTCTTGTTTCACAGAATTTTTAAAAAATAATGTTAGAAATACAGGAAAAAGTGTGTTCCTAATTTGTTTTTAGAGGGGATAATGTCAAGAGAACTGCACATTCCTTGACTAAAAAGAAGATAATGCGAAAAGTGTAAAAGTTATTTTCAAATGTAAATCTCATAATAACAATTTTATTTGTTATGCTAAACTCTCTTAGCTTACTTGTGTTTTAGGAATGCTAAGCTGTCATTGAGATATTATTTGTTTCAAGGGAGAAGTAACGTTTTGTTGGGTTTTGATGGGTTGGTTAATTACCTTTTTGAGAGAGAAAGCAAGGGCCTTGGAAGTGAACTTTTCTAAGCTATCAAAAACCTTTCTTGCACAACCCACAGCATGAATCTGCATAAATGGAGGCATGTCTACAGCAACAACCTTGGCGCTATTGCAAGACAAGAAATCTGCCAGCTCAATCTTCGAGCTGGAAAATGACCTTCTCCGCCCTCCTCCACCGCCGCCCGTTTCTTGCGACAGGGACGGTCGTCTCTTCTCCGCCTCCTCGTAATCGTCCACCTCCGCCTTCGCATCTGGATCGGCTGAACTTTTCTTGATTTCATCGCCTCCTCCGCCACTGCCGCTTTTCTTGATTATAAAGTCCGGGTCTTGTTCTTTGTGGGATTTCTTCTTGAGTGGCTGCGAATTTGCGCCGCCGTGCTGTTGGCTCTTTGACTTGGTCAGAGCTGCCGGGCAAGAAGAGTCAACGAGACGGCCATCCTTTAAGGACGCTTTCGAGAGGAGGTGTTTGTGATTGGAGTAGAGATTGGAGAAGTGCCGGGAGATTGAGCGGATGGTGGTGGAGGGGCGGGTGGGATCTGGGTTGGGGTGGCGGTGGCCGGCGGCGGTGGAGGAGGAGGAGATGGGTTGTTGCCGGCTATTCGGGGTGGGATCCACGGATGCTGCTGCTAAGTTGCGCCTGTGACTTGCCATCTTCTTTTTTTCGTGGGGATAAGTTAAACAAGTAAAACAACAGAAAACGAGATAGAGAGAGAGAGAGATTTGAACCAGAGTAATTGTGCGAGTATGAGGTTTTTTATTTGAGATTTTGAGTCCCCTACCGTACGAGTCAAAAAATCCTTTTGATTTATTTCTTATGCCATTTCTTCAAAAAACTTCTCTTACTTCACATTTTATTTGACATTTTTTAATTAAATTAAATAAACTTTATTTATCAATTATTGTCCATTTATACTGCATACTAATGCAAGAAATTACTCCATAAAATTTGAAAGTTCTACACAAATTAATTCTAAATCAATTGTTTTTTATATTGTAGGATTCAAAGTTTGTCAAATTTGCCTTAAAAAAGTCAAATTGGATGAACATTTTAGAAGAGAAGTAGTAGTTGGTGACTAATTATACTTCAAATTATGGATTTTGAATCGGAAACAACAATTATACTTCTACTTTTTTGGTAACATAAAAATAAAGGAATATACCTAAATAGTATGAAAATTTCATCATTCAAAAATGTGAACTTAGAATTGGTAATAAAAAAATTAACTGGAAAATTCAATTTCATCCAAATCAATTTTATAGAATTTCAATTCTCAATTAAAATTTAGTTCCATATACCAAACGGAATCTAAGCGCATTCTGGAGTTTCTATGTTACTTTTGCTTGATGATAAGATGGATTAGGAAATAATATAAATAGTCTATTTTAGTGCCAATTGCAAACATTAGATCGAATGCAAGTATCATTTTCTAATGCAATAATAATAATAATGTCTTGCCGTTATGAATGAGACAAAGAAACACGGTAATGGCTTGGGGATCCACAGTTAATCAATAATAATCTTTTCTCTCATTTTGATTACAAACAAAAATTTGGATTAATTGTGATATAAATTTAATAATAATTGTTTATTTTAAAAAGTAGTAGATTAGAAATATTATACTCCGTATTTTTATAATCTAAATTTGTACTTCCTCCGTCCCTAAATATTTGTCACACTTGTGTTCCCGAGGCAAAATATCAAGTTTTTTCAATTCATTTTATTTACATATTGGTATAGAAATAAAAAATAAAATTTACATATCAAAAAACTACATGAAAAGTTCTTCGAAATAAGAGGTGTCAAAAATATTTTATTTTATCAAATAACCAATGAAAACGTAGAAATAAACAAAAGTTCCCGCGATTGCTGAAAAAGCAAACGTTGCAAATAATTTGGGACGGAGAGAGTATGTAATTAGAAATCTTAAAGGTCAAAGAGTTACATTAAAGCCTAAAAGAAGGGGAACAAAGTAATAAGAGGGTAATAATGATGCAAATACATAGGGAGTCGTAGGCTCGTAGCTAGCAGCTTGCCAGGTACATTATAAATCAAGCTCATAAACATACTACGGAGTATATGCTTAGCTTGATATATATATATATATATATATATATATATATATATATATATATATATATATATATATATATATATATATATATATATATATGATTCAATATAAAGGAAGGAATTGAAGCTAATTGATATATAATTAAGTGATGGATCGATGGATGAGATAATCAGTAGTAGAAAGGCTCGTCGGAGAGGCCATCGGGGAAATCCAACAACAACATGTTGTTCTCTTCTTCCCGAGATAGCATTGCTTCCACAAATGACGACGAAGAAGACGATGAAGAAGAAGAAGACGCAGCAGCTTCAAGATGATCGACGACCTCGTTTAATAATGATGAATTAACCCTGCAGCATCCCTCATCATCAAACTCTCCTTGTGGCTGTTGTGGGCCCTCGCCCCAGTCCCCGCCCGCTGCCGCCGGCAAGAATGCGTCTTCAAGCAGGAAATCGCACCAGCTGAAACCCGCCGCCGGCGATGAACTGTTCATGTAGTCATTCCTCATCATCATCTCTTCTTCTTCTTCATGATCGTTATTATTGTTATTATCCCCCCCGCTAGTGGGTAATAAAACAGGGGATGGGATTGGGAGGGAGGAAGACGACGAGAGCGAAGAAGACGTGGTGGGACCCGGCGCCGAGTAATTCGCGATCGATTTGATGGCTTGGAGCTCCGACAGGAGGTCGGTATAGTTGCCCCCGTTGGCCACCGCCCCGGAACAATCATTACCGTCCCCAAGCGTTAGCGGCGGCGGGGGTTCTGTGTAATTGCTGCTCATTATTGTCGTTGTCTTGAGTGTGGCGTTAAAGTGGGGGGGCGGCGGCTGCAGCTGGGCGGCAGCGGGGGAGCAATCATTGTTGCATGATGATGGCGAGAATCCACCAACGTTTCCGATGTAGTCGGAGAGTATCTGAGAGAAGGGCTTGTGGGTGACGGGGTCGATCCCCATGGCAGTCAACTTCTTCTTCAGCTTTGTGTTCCACACGCTCTTCACCTCCCCCTCCCCTCTCCCCGGCAACTGCTGTGCTATTATTGTCCACCTGAATTTGAATTTGAATTTAATAATTCCCCAACACAACAATATAATCATACTACCGGCCTCATCTTGTTTTTGGCATACATTATATATGATGATCAAAAATATATATAACAGTACATCAAATATATACGACCGCGTGCGCGCGCACCTGGCACCGATGGTGGCGTGAAGCTTGATGAGGAGTTCCTCTTCTTGAGGGGTGAAGTTGTCGCGCCGATCAATTTCCTGTCGTCGCGACTGGTTACTCAACCGCGGCTTGCTACTCCTCTCCACCCTCCCCATTCCTTGATTACATTAAAAAATTAATCATCAATTAGCATTCAATCAAAGACAATTACACAAAGTATATAAAGAATATGTTCACAAAATGCATAAATGAATGAATGTACCTGTAGTGGTAGTATTAGCAGCTGTTGTTTTCTTGGCAATGGGGGTCCAGTTACAAGACTTGTTCCTTGCAACAAGTGATCCTCCAGTTGATCTCTGTTTTTCCTTTTCTTCATAATCATAGCCACCACCCCAAAATGACCTCCTTGACGAGGCCGGCAACTTCTCTCTAGTGTACCCATTATTATAATTATTACTAGGCCTTCCCATATCTGTTTTCTTTTTTTTTATTTAATTATTTCTTGAAACTAATTAATTGGGAGTGATGGTGGGAATGAAGAATTAGTGTAATGTAAGTGGATATATTTATAATAATAAAAAGATAATCAATTCAGAGGACATTGGAGCTAGGCAAGGAAAGCATGATAATAATTAGTCAGATTAAACTAAACTAGCTAGGTAGCAAGGTGAATGCATCATCATCAACATAAAAAGATTGGTGAAAATGATAAAGAATAATAATTGATGTGGTTTATAAAACAGGTTTAGTTTGGGTGAATTATTTGGTTAGCCATAGATTTATTATTGTCTAATTAACTAACTAAAGAGTATTGTTGATGAAATATAATAATGATTTATATTTGTACATATAAAAGAAATGGGAGCTGTCACAAGTTTGACAAGCCTAATTAATTACAATAAACAAATTAAAGATTAATAATTCATTATTTAATGAATCCCCTCATTCGTTTGACGTTTTCTTACCGCAACATTTTAGGAAAAAAAATAATTCTACATTGTTTTGAGTCAATATATCATCACACAAAAAAAGAGTGATAACAGAGTTTGAAAGTTTTGGGATGAGGTCAATGGCTTTGACACTAACTTTCTCAAGTCAACAATAGTCACACAAAAAATGAGACTCACTTAATTACCACTTCTGTCTTCTAATATAAACATAATTAAACACACAGCTGCCCCAACAAATTAAAGTTTAACTACTAGTGGGTAGTTGGGTACTCTATCAAAACATGACAAAGCTAAGCAACAAAGATAATATAGGTGATCAGGAAAGAGATCTATTTGATACGGAGTAATATTTATATATAATGTTCAATTGGACAGGGAAAGAAGGAAATGTTTCCATATTTTTATAGAATTGTGCTTTTATATTCTTAAAGTTTATACGTCAAATGTGGAAAACCACATTTTATCATCATTTCTTTTTATGTTATCTTTATCTCGAAATAAATATTATCTTTTTTAATTCGTCCGAACCATATTTTACTGATTTGTATATTTTCTACAACTCAGTCGAAACGAAAAACGTACAAGAAGCAAGGGAGGGAGTATTGTCGTCGGAAAAGACACAATCACTTCGGTGTCGTCGGTGGTCAACCCCAACATGCCTGTGGACCACTAATTTAGGATTTAAATAAAAAAAATCGGAATTGAAGGGCAACTACAAAATAATTCACCATTATCCCCCAACATTTTAAGGATCTGCAACCTTATTATTATTATTATTATTATTCTTCAAAAAGGTGAAATCGCTCACCCCGGGCGCCCCTGTTACAATATAAATAACTGTTCTTGGGCCACAACCACAAGCTTGAGCTTTTGGGTTGAGTTGGTTCCTCGACATGGTATCAGAGCCAAAACCCTAGAAAATTTTCTACGACTACTGTTCACGATCGCCCGGCATAGCGTCCATCGATCGTTGCTCAGATTTAGTCAGTTGTTGCTGTTGCCGGATAACGGAACGGTCGACCGTTGCTCTAGAACGGTCGAGCACGTCGACCGTCCCGTCGGCAGATTGTTTGATTGATGCTGCTGTTGATTCTTCCGCCAACGCCGTACGCCACTCTGCTACCGCCATGGCCGATGAACAACCAAGGAAGATGTTTTTATCGCTATCATCGTGTGTTTCTAGTTTGAAGCTTTCAGGTATTCCTGTATCACCGCGGTGGATTATAGATACTGGGGCATCAAATCATATGACTGGTGATATTTCGTTATTGTATGATGTTGTGGGAATATCACCGTGTGAGATTGGTTTGCCCAATGGGAAAAGAATTGTTTCTGTCCAATCGGGGAAGATTAATTTGACAGAAAAATTAATTCTACATGATGTTTTATATGTCCCCACTTTGAGTTGCCATTTAATCTCTGTGTCACAATTGACAAGGGATTCGAATTGTGAG